TCTTGACCAAGGATGCTATTTATTTCTGTTAAAATGCACTCCCAAAATGATTTAGTAATTATATGAAAGATGTTTGTATTTACAGCTCTGCATCTCCAAAATTGAATATTGATTGATGGATAATTATTCCATCTAGTTGGGGTCAGACACCAACGAGTCGTGGTTTTCTTTTAAGTTCATACAATGTGTAACTTTGGATTCAGCAAGTTCTTAGAATCCCAACTCCCATCAGCCCCAGCCAGCATTGCCAATTGTGAGGGATGATGGGAACTGTAGTCCAGCAACATCTGGAGGACGCCGTGTTGGAGAATGCTACTCTAATTGCCTATGTTATGCTGGCTTTCACTAGTCTTATACAAAGTCAAAGAGGCTGGTGGGTTCCAGCGCTAAAGCTTATATTGCTTAACTTTTCTCCACTTCATCTTTTAAAAAATATTATTAAGTGAAGTCCGCATAATACTCAGCACCACTAGATCAATTCATCAGGAGCAGAGCCAAATCAGTTATTTGCAGCAAGTAATTTGCTTAACAAATTGAGTACTTCTTTTCCCCATTTCTAATGGAAGCATTCCATTTCATATAATTTATTCAACAAATTAACTTTTTCTGCAAGCTTCCAGCTTGATTAGTGTTTGCTATCTGCACTTGGCCACTAATCTTGAAATAGTACTTCCACCCTTCTCCCACACCATGCTTTTTTGTTGGAAATGCAAATCTCATTGAGATGCCAATTGATTTAATAAAAGGGGGATTTAGTCTGACTAAGACATTAAGCAGCATTGCTATCAACCAGTTTGAGGGGCTGGGGGTCGAACAGATGCATTATCTAAATGCAGGGATGGGAAACCTCCATCCCATGGGACAATCATACCCGCAGCATGGTTCCAGATCGGAACCATGAGGCCATTTCCCCCAACCCCAGGAACACCTGCTGCACACCTGGTGCCATATGTGATTTTAGGTTAAGCTCCACCCTGTCCATCTTAGCTCCACCCTGTGCATGTAGCACCATTTCCATCCTGCTGCAGTTCATCTTCCACCAAAAGTGATGTTACTTGTCTTGCTGTCTTCTTGGACAAAATTACATAAGTTATGGTAAGTTGGGTTGTTAGTATGTTTTTCCACCCTTTGCATTTCTGTGCAAAGGAAACACAGTGCAAACTGGTAGGGGATTTAATTAATTACATATCGTTTGTGGACCGACAACAGCAGCAATAACAAAGATGACAACAACAACGAAGAATACCTGTTGGTACTCCCACAACTGATTTCCCTCCAGACATGGGATAAACAAGCAAACATCAGCAACTTCTTCTCCTATTTTTGTTTTCATCAGAATTCTCTGACACATCTCCATCAGGTATGGGGCTGGCAGAGGCACAGCTGGACAGCCTGAGTGACTGAGTTCCCTTGGGTGACTCAAATCATGCAACTGATCACCACAGAAAGTTCCCTGCTGGGAATCGGATTGTGGAGTCAATACCTTTGGTACCGAATGCAGCTTTGCCAGCCCTAGGCTTGGTGTGTGGGAAGTTTCATAAAAGCCTCCCCCTCACATACTCACATCTCTTGCTTGCCCCTCTGCTGCATGTTTGTGGCCCTGGCACCAATAAGAAAAAGCATTGTCCTCACTCTGGTGGGACTTTGTGGTTTTGTGGCATTGAGAGCTGGAAAGCAAAGCTCACTCCATCAGCCCTGGTGTGATAGTCTAGCTCTATTAAGCACCTCCTGCCTCTTAACCGGTCATTATAGGGACGAATGTTTAGAAACAAATGTCTGAGTTTTGCTTTTGCTTTTCCCTCCCCATCTGTTTTTGCTTGTGTGTCATGTTTTCTTAGATTGTCAGCCTGAAGGTAGGGCCTATCTTGTTTTGATTATATGTGAGATGCCCTGGGAGCTTATTGGGCTGAAGAGAGAGTTACAAATGCTCTAAATAACAATAATAAGTAATAATAAATGATTTCACCACATAATTTTACCTACCTAACTGCTTATGAGATTCAATATGCTTATCATATTAAATGTGCACTGCTCACTCAAGCATTTAAAGAGAGACAGAAAATGTTTTGGGCAGTGTTAGAAACCACCGTTGTTGCTGGGAATGCTGGGGAAATGGTTGGTCATTTCAACCCTGTTCACAAGCACACACACACACACCTCATATAAAATAATCAATAATAAACCCTCTCCAGAGGGGGCTGGAGGGATTTAGGGTATTTCAACTCAGCCTCAGTTAAATATTCTGGTTTTTGAAGGAAGTAGAGCAGGGCTTAGCAAGCCCTGACCCTTTAGCCACCCCGAAATAGCAGCTGTAGAAACATAGTTCTGCTTGAGGGCCATTTGCACAAAAACCAACAATAAGAATCCAAAATGTATTTGGAAAAGCTGGGGCAATATTTCCACCTGCTGGAGACATGGGATAATTAGCCAGCTAGTACAAAATCAGCATACGTTTTCCTTTACACAGAATCTAGGTATAACAAACAGAGATGGGCAAACTCCTTTGCCCTGTCTCGACTCAGGGTGGCCTCATTCCCCTCCCAAAAAAAAAACCTTTCCCAATAATTCTACCTGTTTACCTGCAATTTCCAGGTATGTGAGAGAAGAACAGTTTTAATTTTAACTGGGAATGTGTGTGTGAAAAGGGAGAGGGGAGTACCCAAACCATCAGAAAACACAGTAGCTCTGAACTGATAAAAGCTTCTGAGACAAAATAGACCTAGTCACTGTTGGAGACAAATTACTTGATTGAGGCAGACCACCCACTCAGCTGTAGCACAGCAGCTCTTGCAGTTTCATAGGAAACTGTGCAAAACTCTTTCCATCACTTTGGTACGTTGTTAAGGAAGTGAGAAATATCAAGGCCAGCACAGAGAAGGAAGGAGCAAAGCAACAAACAAACAGCAAGAGGCTCCTTTTGTACCCAGGAGAATGCTCAATATTTTCTCTTCCAAAATGAGCAATCAGGAACCTCAGTGCAAAACTGAAGGTAGCCTACAGGGCTCAGGTCACCCTTGATACAATTTGGATTTCCAAGGTCACCTTTTGAAGTAATGAATTTGGATTGCAGCCAAACCATCTTCTCCAAAGACTGTAACTGGAAAAACTTGAGCATCTGTTCTCAACACATTCATTCATTCATTTGTTCATTCATTGCATTCATAGCCAACTTTTTTTCTCGAAAGTTCTCCACCTCCTTTAATCCTCACAACAACCCTGTGAAGTAGGTTGGGCTGAGAGCGAGTGACCGGCCCATTGTCACCCAGTGAGCTTCATGGCCAAGTGTGGATTTGAACTCTGGTCTCCCAGGTCATAGTCCTAGTTACGCTGGGACAGGAAAGGAGGGAGGGATATTTCTCATAACTTCCCTATGAGGAAGGTTGCAATATTTTTTTTGTTTTTTATTTTGTTTTTAAAGGCATGTAAGTGAGGGACATGACAGAGGTGCCTAGGATTATGCATGGCATGGAGAAAATGAATAGATCCCTCTCTTATACTACTAGAACTCAGAGCCATCCAATGAAGTTGAATGATAGAAGATTCAGAGCAGACAGAGAAGAGTGCTTATTCCCACAAGAAGTGGTGATGGCTACCAACTTGAATGACTTGAAGATTAGACAAAGTCAATGGCTAGGAGCCATGATCGCTATGCTGTGCCTCCAGTCAAAGGCAGTGTGTTTCTGAATACCAGTTACCGTACTAGGAATCTCAAGCACTCACATCCTGCTTGCAAACTTCTCATTGGGACATCTGATTGACCAATGAGAGAACAGGAACAGGAAGATGGACTAGATGGGCCTTTGACCTGATACAGCAGACCTCTTCTTAAATTGTTAAGAATTGCCTTCTTAACTTGTTATTTTGTTTGGTTCGACTAGCTCCCTGCACTGTTGCAGGTAGCGCTTACCCAGGGCACCAGCATAGGTCAGCCTAGGGTGAACACTTGGATAAGCGGAAAGCCGGGAATGGGCTATCTCTGCCACCCAAATGCCCCCCCCCTGGACTCAGGCATGGGCACAACCCCCTCTCAGGGGTTGACCAAACCATAGAATCATAGAATCATAGAGTTGGAAGAGACCACAAGGGCCATCGAGTCCAACCCCCTGCCAAGCAGGAAACACCATCAGAGCACTCCTGACATATGGTTGTCAAGCCTCTGCTTAAAGACCTCCAAAGAAGGAGACTCCACCACACTCCTTGGCAGCAAATTCCACTGTCGAACAGCTCTTACTGTCAGGAAGTTCTTCCTAATGTTTAGGTGGAATCTTCTTTCTTGTAGTTTGGATCCATTGCTCCGTGTCCGCTTCTCTGGAGCAGCAGAAAACAACCTTTCTCCTTCCTCTATGTGACATCCTTTTATATATTAGAACATGGCGAGTCCCTGGATTCCTTTAACGGAATGTCCTTCACATAGAGATAGTGACAGCGTTCTCCCATCCCTATCACCTGAACCAGTGCCTATCCGCAACCTTACAAGTTGTGACGATTTGCTATGTGGCAGGCGAAACCCAAATGGCAACAGCCAATCAGCCAAGTGGGGGAAATTCCTGCCATGCCCCTGTCCCAACGACAGACGACACACAACGGCATAGGAAGGTCAAGCACACAAGCCCTAAAAGTAGGGAGAGGTGGGCGGGTGTTCCGAATGCATGCGCCGAAAGAGGAAGCTCTGGGTCACGTTAATGGGCATAAATAAATCAGTCCATTTAGACTGCATCCCATTGGCCAGATTAAACCCAGCAGCAAGAGACCTACCAATTGGGTGTTGTAGCTAACCAATAATCCCCACCCACAACACAGGTTTTGGTTGCCAGGTCTCACCGCAACACGTGCCCTCTTTAAGGGAGGACCCGATTTGCCAACATTTTCTTTTTTAAAAAATGCTACAGAGTAATGAACCTGCTCCCACACTGATATCTTACTGAACTAGCTTGCTGTTGATAACTCCAAATCTGGAAGTTAATGAGCTCACGTATTGGAGGGGCTTTGGAGAAGGGGGTTGTCAGGGGTTCAGGGAGAGAGGCACAGGGTAGGCAGGAGATGGAGAGCGATGGGGAGGAATTCCAAGGCAGCGAGGAAGAGGATGACAATGACTCAAGAGATTCCATGAGTCTTTCCAGCGAATCAGAGGATTCTCAGAAGGGGGCGCCGGTGGTTAAGGCCAGGGGAGCCCCAGGGGGGACGTGTCAGGAGCAGGGGGCCAGCGGAGGATCCCAAAGTGGCAGCTGGGCGTCAGGACCAGCCTCCCCACCAGAGTGCAGCGAAGGGGGTGGAGTTTCCAGTGTGTCAGAGGAAGCAGCTCCGGGAGCAGAGAAAGGAGGGAGGTCAGAGCAAGCCGCCCTTCTGGAAGGGGAGGGGAGCAGTGAAGGGAGTAGTGTAACTGTCAAAAGGAAAGTTAGAGGTTTGGCGCGCGCGCCTAGTTCAAATGTAGAGGCGCGCGGAAGTACAGGGAGCCCGGAGGAGGGGCCAGGTCCCAAAGCCCGCAGGAGGGGGAAGAGCAGTCTGGGGATTCAGCGTCAGAGGAATCCAGGAGGGGCGAAACCCCAGCGGGCAGAAGGACCCTGCGGAAAAGGAAGGAGAGAAAGAGGTGGAGCAGCGCAAGTCTCTTAAATTGGTGCAGGGAGGGACGGATTCAGAGGGGACTTCAGCGGTCTAAGCGTAAGAGACGTAAGGCTGCGCGCCTAGGATGTCAAGCAAACCATGAACTGCAATAAACACCTTTGTATATAAGAAGACATAGGCGTTGGTCTTTTGTGAGCTGAGACTTGAGGCAGCTTTGACAGGGGTTTACTTCTGTGAGAGTAATTTAAATTGTGTAGATTTACAGTCTGATCTAATGCTCCACTGAACAGATGCAAATGGAAGTGTTATGCTGGAGATCCATAGCCTCTCCCACTTTTTTCCTAGGGTGACCAGACCCAATAGAGGGCAGGGCTTCTTCGACTTCGCTCTCTTTTCAGAAGTGGGGACTTTGGCAGGGTTGGTCATATGTTACTGGAAGCCTCATGGAAACAACTATGGTACAGCAGCAAGCACTTCGCCATAGGTAATATACTCAGTCCAGCTAGGATTTGGCTACTAATAATAAATTTCTAACTGGTAGCCATGTGCATGTTGGAAATATGTATAGTTGGCCCAGTCCTGGTGAATCTGATTAGCCTGCTCTGATCTATCATATTTTTAAGCTGTTAGTTGTGGATTTTTCTAATGTTACCAGAGTTTTATTGCTTTATATCTTGTATGATTTTCTGCTGCTCTAATTTCTTTCCTTCTTTGTGGTAGGGGGAGATGAAAAAGCAGTCTCCAAATACGTAAAATAAATAAATATTTAAAATAAGCGGGTTTTTTAAATAAAAAAACCCTCAATGTGACACAGCAAATAGTCCTAAAAACATATCCTCCAACATTCCTCAGATGAAAATAAGGACATTTCTCACTCCCTCAACTGAACCTTCTCGAGCCCCCATTTTTCGTTGCCCCTCCAGAGAGCCAGAGAGCATTTCCTATCAGAAAAAGGCAACTGCTACCACTACCAAACCAACAGGACGCAGCATACACACCCTCCACCGTCCTGAGATAACACCTTAATCCTGATTTAATTTTATTCTTTGGTAGATTCACAAAAAGGAAAACACACATCAATAAATAAATTTTAGAAAGGTGCAATATAAGATGTGGATGCAAATATCTAAATTAAAAAAAAGAAAATCAAGACCCCTTGCGCTTCACTTCCTCTTTCTTCCTGCCCAGAGTTGTCCTGCCCTCTGGCTGCACCTCAGAGCCTGCACATCATGCAGGGCTTTTCCTTGGCAGCATGCTCTTCCTTCCTCACATGCTCTCCAGAAGCTAATATGGGCTACTCAATAGAAGCTGGCAGTGGCCGCCATGGAGAGGCAACAGGATGCTTTCTCACAGCCACCACTGCCACTATTGCCTTTCTCTCAGGACAAGCACCAGCTCATTCTTCTCCCTAAGCTCAGTGGTGCTGGCGATGGTGGGGGAAATATACACATTCCAGGATCAAATCAGAAGCTGGGACAACTTTCATAATTCCAGGACTATCCCTGGAAAATAGGGACACTTGGAGGGTATGTAAACATAGCCTCTGTCTGGTAGGAAGTTTCTGGTTATCTAGTTTGGCAAATACTATTGCTGTCTGCAAAGAGGCTCCCTTCTAATCCTTTGGCAGCACAGACCCCTGCCTGCCTACCTGCTCTCTCATCTTCCACTACTACCTCACTTCTTCCCAGCAACAGTGGCAGATATGGAAGTTGCTGCACTTGCATGTTTTAAAAATCTATTTGGAGGTGGTGCAGCCCAGGTGCTGGAACGGAGTAACTTCCTTAGCAGCAGCCATAGAAGCTGTCTGAACCAATAGCTGCAACAATCACCCAGAGGCTTCTTACCATGGAGAGGCCCTGTTTAGGATGCCAGTGTGAGCCAGGCCTAATAGCAGTATATATAAAACTAAACTTTCTCACAACACATAAAAATGTAAGGTAAAGGTGCCATCCAATACTTTCCATTGTTATTGAAGGAGAATCACATCAAGGACTTGATGGGTGATTGGAACGGCAGCAAGTCAGTGATAGTCACTGGATACTGCTTGGGACTGTGGAAAGGATTTGGCATGTGAATTCAAGGGGAACGTGAGGATGATGATAGCTCATTCTGCATCAAGTGTCATGTCATCTGCTGCGTGGAATGGTGACTGTTGAATAATGCAGAGGGGACCTTTCAAGTTATCTGTGGCAATCACTCCACAGCTACCATTTTAGAAGCATGATCACATTTAAAAAAATGAATTGTGCTGTTTCTCAAATCAGATTCATGGGCTGACTTCAGGTAACTTAACTGAGAAGGTGGCTGAAGGGTGAAGGTTATACATGTGGAATTCATAGTGGTCTACAACCAAATGGTCACGAGGATGGAGTGAGCCTCCATAATGAAAAGTTGCAGCATTTGGGTCTTTTTCATTTAGAGAAAATATGAGTAAGAGGTGTCAGAATAGAAATTTATGAAATTATACCTGGCATGGAGAAAGTGGATACAGAAAAGTTTTCCTTCCTCTGTCATTATAGTAGAACTTGTGGACATCCAAGGAAGCTGAATATTGGAAGATTCAGAACAGATAAGATACTCATGTGTCGTTAGTGTAGATAGTCCACCTAGCGCAGCATTGCTTAGATAAGGATTGGAGACACTGTGGTCCTCCACGTGTTGGTGAACTACAACTCCCATCATTCCTGGAGGGAGGAAGCAAAAGAGGAAGTGAGAAAGAGTGTTACTCTTCCAACTTCCTCCTTCAGCTCTATGTACTTTGCGAGGAAGAAAAAGGTAACGTTCTTATGACCAAGAGGGAAATGAGTGTTGTGGGGGCTCAAAGCTCCATGGGTGCTAGAGAAAGACCTCATTGGTGCCATTGAATGCATGGGCACCATACTGGCAACCCAGTGATGTGAAAGGTATTGCTTGTGGAAAGAATAACACTTAGCTGTTATTTATTACACTTACACAGCAACCTTCCTTCAGAGAGCTCACAGCAACTTATATATGATTTACTCAGAGAAATCTTTCATCTGGGCCCCTTAGAGGGCCAGAACCTGCTTAGTTTCATCATTAGAACTTCATTTTGTGCCTTCGGAGCATTTACTGGGCAATTGCTACTACTGACACTGTGTGAAATATAGCAGCCACCAGCAGCAAGGCTTTTGTGCCATGCTAGGCATTCCTGGAGGAGACTCTTGAGAGTCCCACGGACTGCAAGAAGATCAAACCTATCCATTCTGAAGGAAATCAGCCCTGAGTGCTCACTGGAAGGACAGATCATGAAGCTGAGGCTCCAATACTTTGGCCACCTCAAGAGAAGAGAAGACTCCCTGGAAAAGACCCTCATGTTGGGAAAGATGAAGGGCACAAGGAGAAGGGGACGACAGAGGACGAGATGGTTGGATAGTGTTCTTGAAGCTACCAGCATGAGTTTGACCAAACTGCGGGAGGCAGTGGAAGACAGAAGTGCCTGGCATGCTCTGGTCCATGGGGGTCACGAAGAGTCGACACGACTAAACGACTAAACAACAACAACAAGGCATTCCTGTGCAACTCTAGCACCAGTGCATCAAAAGTCCCTTTCAGAGTGGGGAGAATTGAAATGTGTGTGTCATGTGCATTATCCCCCAGTCAATAGGGAGTTCTTCACATTCACCCAAAGGATCCTCCATTAAGCTAAGTGCACTGTACCTAGCAATCTTCACTCTCTTTTTTCCTGCACGTAATCTCATGAAAGGACCAAAGTGTGTCTATGTGTGTGTGTGTGTGTGTCTTTCTCATCTTGCCTGAGTCACGGTGTGTGACTTTGATTTCAGTTCCGCTTGAAACAGAATGTACATAAGCTCTTGGCGGGGGCGGGAGGAGAAAGGAAGAATAATGTTGAAGGAACAACAACCAACAGTGGCAGCTCCAGTGACCCAAAGGACAGAAGTCAGAAATGTCATTTCTGAGGTTGAACTCAGCAAACGTTAGCTATTTCTCACCAGGAGCAGTGAAGCCAAATCTGAGAGCTATTTCTCCTAAATAAAGACCTTACAGCAGGCCAGTTCACACGTGTGTTCATCACTTAAGAATTGTAGTGAGGATCTGCATGTGTGAATATGAAATTGCTGGTTAAATCATTACGGTGAAGGATCAACTAGCGCCGCATGTTGTTTTGGGGGTGGATGGGATAGGACACAATGTCTTCAATGTGTTCTTCTGGACCCAATTCCCAGATTCACCCAAAGGGAGAGTGCAAGGTAAGCAGAAGATGCTGCTATAATCTCTTCCCTCCTGTTGCTGCTAGCATGTTCAGAGAGAGACAATGGCACCAAGGAGGAGGAGACCCAGGATGCTCTAGGGCAGATATGGCTTTGGGCATTGGTCTTGGTGTCTGGGACTGATTGAGATTTCTCCTTCTGGTCATAAAGTATGTATTGGTGCCACTATACAAAAGACTCTGCTTTTTGTTTCTCTCAGCTAGAGGTAGTTTTCTTTGAGCCTCTACAATGCACACAGAGACCAAATAAATTTCCTTAACTCTGATAACTAGCTGTGGGTCCCAATTATCCAATGATCTTTCCTGGTCCTGGACTAGAAAGGATGAAAGGTTGCCTGGCTATCAGTTTGGATCTTGACAGGTTCTTATGCTGCCCCGTGGTCTTTAGAAGTACGCTGTCTCTGAACATGGAAATTCTATTCACCCACCATGATTAATGAGTGAAGCACAAATTTGTATATACTGGGATGCGGGCAGCAGGACCCAGTAGTAAAGCATGACTAGGCAGCCTGTAGCCTTCCAAATGCTGCTATGCTACAACTCAAACAATCCCTAACAATTGTGTAATGTTGACTGCAGCTGATGGGAATTGCAGTGCAACAGTACATGGGCTCCCCATCACTTCTCTAGGGATTGGCAGTGGGACCCCTGCTAGCGTGTGGGCCTCAACAGGTGCCCAATGAAACCAATCCTGGTAGCCAGGGCCA